TCAGCATACGGCGGGGTATGAGTAACTGAAAAATATATTTAGTTGAGTAAATACAGTCACAGTTTACAGAAGCGTAATATTATGAACGATAAAACGAGTTTACAAAATTTAATTTTTTACGAGAACAAATTAATATACCAGCGATGATCGGAGAACCCCACTTTGAACGAAAGCCATAGGTTATTGTCTAGCTTAACCGAATTTGCTATTTGCAGTGAAAACCGGGTAAAACAACCATCCTTTAGAACCATAGCATCGCAGAAGTTCATGCACGACGACAATATCGTGGTGGTCGGAGGTGGCCATCCATTGTCCAATAATTGCTACTCGCCTTTCCCGAGTCATATGATAGAAGAACGTGAAAAAGTTGTCAAGTTCCCAGTATTGTCAAGAAAGGAAGTAGTTGCATAACTTCTACAAACCGGGTTTCAAGACTTTACTGCGTTGCGCACTTGCTCCTACAGAGAGATGCAAATATGACGATCTAAGCGAGTCACTACTCGATGACAACATGCAGTAGATGGGCAGTTAGGCATATGAGAGAAAGGAATGCCGCCATAATGTCGAGAAACCCAGTCTGAAAAAGATACCTGCCCAATAACATTTTTCAGTCTAAATAACGCCAATTGATCTTCGCTAAAAAACAACTATTGCATAAAAAACTTACTCTCATCCTGGTCCTGAGAACACAGGTAAACCGTGTTAGCAGGCGTTTTGGTAACAAAGAACAGCTTGACATTTGCTCTCGATTGCAATGTTTTCCACGTCTGAAAGCAGAAAATACAAAATGTGCAACGGAAATTTTCCAAAAGTCAACAATCTACACAGACTACCTTGAGTTTAATACAATCTACGTAATCCCATTGAACGACTTCGCCAGCGGTGGTGCAGGTGAGTAGCTAAAACCGTCGTTAACATCACAATCAACCGAAAGAAGAGGCAAAAAAAAACGCTGAATGAACACAACCTGGAAGCAGTTGGACGGACTCACGTAAACACCGATTACTTCGGCATCATGCGCAAGTACGGCAATCTGGAGGCCGGTTGTCACGCTGTACACGTTAATCGAATTACCGCAACAACAGAACAAATACCTATAAAACATAGGCACTTTTTTAGGCTGAACTTATCACAATCCTCAAAGGTCATACTTGTTTGACTTGTCCACACAAGGAGGAAATTTTACGATTGAGTCGCCGCTGTGCTGCGAAACGACGAAATCTTCTAAGCTTATACCCATTTGTGTCACATTTGAAGGGAACTGCGGAATAAATCAGTCAGGTATCAGGCCTATAATAAAAAGATAAAGTTCATTTCATGGCTGGTGGCATGCAAGATCGATTCAGTAGCTATGCAAGTACAACGTATAGTAATGAAACATCATCCTGAAATGGAAGGGGGCAATTCATTGCAATACATTCAATCACCTTCATAGCAGTCAGTCATTAGTTTTAAACGGCAAGAGGAGTAGCTTTAGCAGTTCAAAGGTAATGCACCGCTGAACAAGCAGATGCCACGTTGATCTTTTGGACTTTGCACTATCCTATTTATAGTCCCGAAATCGATGACGTACTTCGGTAAAGTTGTGTTGCAATATGGTTTGTTGACTTGTGAACAAAACAACAAAGCAAAGTTTTAGCATATTTTCCGAACGATCAGAACTTTTCAGGATTCAAATGCGCCAACTTTTAACTTGCGCTAAGAAAAACGAGGGTCGTGGGTACAGAGACTGCCGTGACTTCTACCCTTGAACAATTCTGGTATGGAGAGGGGGAGGGGAGTATTACCAACATCATTCATTCAGAAGACGACCCAGTTCAGTTTACACAGAAGTCTTGCTGCATACAGCTCGAGAATTTTCGATACGAGGAACGATTTCAGATCAGATCGATGCAGAACAAAAGAATTTCGTAAATCCGCGGTACCATATATCGCTCGATGCGGACTCAACAGGAACAAGCAAGTTGTTCTTGGAAACAAGCATGCATCCTTCCCGGCACCGTTTACCATGCATATGCGCTACTTCCCCGGTCATGCTTGGAAAAATGCTTCGTTTAATACATAAAACTTTGGTAACCGATACGCAGCGATGAAAATTTGTGCTCACTCACGAGGTCAACTGAAATAAATAAAACTTATTTTTGACGATTCGGTCAGCAAAACATTCAGGGTCACTGAGATGTACAAGCGATTTTACGACATTGACATGGCATCTCAAGAAGGGGCACCGAAACTATATGGATTTCGATGGATTTTCTTCAATTAAATGAACTTTCGTGACTCCGCAGCAGTTACTGGAACTAATGATTGGTTTCTCTATAGCAATGGCATTTACGCATGGAAAATAAAGATCTTAAAAACCGGTTGACAGTTTTTATTACAGGCAGTACAAAGAATCAGATCAGTACTTGCACGTGTACCAAGGCAAAGGGTATTCTGAATACAAAAATCTAGCTTCTCGATGATTTCTGGTTCAACGAACAGCAGGAGGAGTTAGGGCCATAGAAGAGGTATTAAACTATGGTAAGTAAACTACAGTAAACGAGAATCAGACGTTATTCTCATACATTTTACCTATTTTTTTCCAGTAATTAATAAAATCTTTGCTATATTGTGCTTAGAGGGCACATGGAATAAAAGTAGAAGGAGCGCTGCCAGTGGCAACAATCAAACAACAGGACTGCATACTCGAGCGAAGCATCAGTGCAGCGAATTCTTCCTATTAACCATGCTACCACTAATGACATGTCAAGAACAAACTGTAAGCTAACAAGGCAATTACAGATATTTTAACACTTCTTGATCCGAAC